CCCTGGCCCCACCCCCCAGCCGGAAGCCCCTTCCAGGATTTCTGGGTTGGAAGTTCGGGTAGGTGTGGAGGGGGGGACCCTGGGCAATGAAAGAGCGTGTGGGGGAAGTGGCCTCTCTCCTGCTCCATGCCCCATGCCCCATGCCCTGCGCTGCAGCTGCTTGGGGCTGCCTGTGCCCGCTCCAGACAGCCCCATGAGGGCTGCGAGCGCCTGCAGCGTGGGGCACCAGGCATGGGGCGGGGGGGGGGGCTGCTTCCCCCCCCATGCTCAGCTTTTCCCTGGGCTCCTTCCCTGTGCAGAGAAAAGAGGCCCCTCACCTGCCCCATGGACAGCCCTGAGTGGGCTGCGAGCACCTGCAATGCGGGGCACTGGCCACGGGGCAGGTGAGGGGTGACTTTTCCCCATGCTCAGCACCAGCTTCTTCCCTGCTGGTGAGCAGGGGGTCAGAGCTGTGCGCTGCCCCCCGCCTGTACTGCAGGGCTGGGGGGCACTGGGTGTGAGCAGGCAGGGAGCCAGTGGGAGCACCGGGCCCACACTGGTGCCCTGGGGCCAGTGCCAGTGGTGCCCAGAGCAGGGCGGCAAGAACGCAGGGTCCCAGCTGGCAGGGGCTCTGTGGAGCTGGGCCAGCTCCCACCTCCCTGCTGATGCAGCCCAGCCCAGCTCCACAGACCCCTGCCAGCCTGCACCCTGCTTTGGGCCCCACCGGAGCTGGCCCTGGGACATTGGTCCCAAGACATTGGGATGTTGGTCCCAAGATGGTGACTAGGGGGCAGTCAAGGGGCGGGGCACCTGTCAAGGGGCAGGGCTCCCCATGCAGCCCTCGACAGCCTGCCGAAACTGGGTAAGCAGCCCTCCGCTCAAAATAATTGCCTGTCCCTGTTTTAAACAGATTCTAATACAATTCTATGACCCCAGGAGCTAGAATACTAATAAAAACATTAAAAACAATGACAGTCCACAATCTAATCACAAAACCTGGCAGAAACAAGCAAAACACTCACTGATCTTCCAGGCCTCACACAGTAAAGTATCTTATTTCATGAGTGGACCTATTGCTTTCAGTGGCATTGGTTGAGAAATAAGTTGAATGCAGATAATAGAATCTGAACCCTGGTACTTGGTAACTAAGTACTGGTTTTATTCATTATTACCCTGACCCTAAAATTAACTATTGAATTATGGCCCATTAATTATGGCCAAGGATATTATTGTACAATCATATTTAATCTTCTAGTACAGAAGGTGAACGCACATGTATAAGAAACTGTACTCCTAAAAGTTTAAAATTTTACAAACTGGTGCTAAAACCATGTTGAGACTTGGGTAAAGTCTGTCTCACATAAGAGGAACAATCTTATTGGCCACGAACTGTAGTTCTAAGCCATACCAGTAAGTCTTTTTTATCCGTGTGGGCCAAACTATTATGCTGATCTCTTGAACATTACATGGCTCACATGGCATATCTCTGAAAAGCAAAGATAAAAGGTAAGCAGAGGTGTTAAAAAGGTTTATTGTCTTAGTTATATTTGTGTTTTACGTAAGATTTTATTCCAGGTTTTAAGGAGGATTAATACAGTCTGGGAATATGGTCTAAATCTTAGTACTCTTTGAGTGAAGTTGTAGATGCAATGGTCCAGGAATTGTGTGAGAGGCAAGGATTTTTCTGGGTGATATCTTTTATTGGGCCAACTGCATAGCTTGGATAAAGTTAGACAAACTTTTGAATGCAAAGCATTCTTCTTCATGTCACCTCGTTTTGACGTAGGTCACCTGAAGAAGAATACTTTGCATTCAAAAGTTTGTCTAAATTATCCCAACTATGCAGTCAATCCAGTATAAGGCTTAAACTGAACATGTCACTCTACCTAAAACTTGGAAGTGGTTGGGTTCAAAGGGCGAAAGAGTTGGTTCCCAGTTAAGGGTCCCTATAAACTTTAGAACTTTTTTGTCTAAGTAGCATAGCTGAGGTTTCAAAGCAACAAGACCTCCTAGAATGAGCTAAGTGCCTACTGGGTAGACGGTTCTCTAGTCCTTTAAAAATCCATGCTAAAAGGAAAATTAAGAACATCTGATTTTGGAATACTCAGGAATCAGTCATGCTCAGCTTGATTAATAAAATACATTTACATGCTTTCATTTTTGAGAGAAACACCTTTCTTCTGTAACATGCAGTAATTCTAAAACAGCCTATGCAGCATAAGTTTAGGAGCCTCATAAGCAGTCAGTGGAAAAAAGAACTGAAATTACCTGAGGCTAGATTGTGTCAGGTGCTGTCAGTGCCTAAGGTGGTGATGAGCATACAAAGATACTTTCTGCCCCAGGGTCATTGCTATAAGCATTTCTGATGTGCCTGTTATAGGAATGTGTGTCATTTTTCTTTAATTTGATAGCAGAAATCCTGGCAGGAGGAGAGGGGAAGATTCTAGGCAGAAGCTCTACAGTGAAGCAGGGAGAACCTCAGTCGCTTTAGAGATAATACTCTTCTTTAGTTGAACACAACTGTTCTTTCAGGTGGCATTACTACCTGTAAGGACTATGGCTGGTGCTGGCAGAGGCAAGAAGTATATGTAATGACTGGCTGTTTGGGAGCCTAAAGTCCTTATTCACCACACAGTGCTCACTCACACCATACGCAGATGCAAATAGACTAAGAAGTTGAGAGGACTTCAGGAGGTGGCCTTTTTTAGCTTGTCCTCCAGTGAAGTCCAAAGCACTAGGTTTCATTTTGCCTTAGGACTTTACAAAGTCAGCTCCACCTGACCTGCTACATCCAGTTTCAGTGAAATCAGCTACCCAAGCTCTGCTACTGCCTTACCAGGCTACACAGTTGGCTGTACCAGCTTAGCTGCTAGCGGGGCCAGTCCCACAAAGTGAACTGCAAATTAGGTCTAGAATCTTTTCTAGACCCCTAATTCTCTTGTTCAATTTAAGATCACTACCCAAGCATTACTTTTAGTTCAGGGTTTCTTGCTTTCTCCAGGCTACAACCTGTCCTAATTTCTTTATACATTTACATGTGCTATTTAATACCATTTCCATAAAACAGAATAATAATAGATTCAAAATTATGTAAGAAAACTATTCATAACTGCATGGGAAAGAAGTGGAGTATATAAATTAGACCTTCTGAATATGTAAATTCAGCCTGGCAGGACTTGCATTTCTCCTTTCTCTTAAATGGGCAGCAAAAAGGATCTTTTGATCTTTCCAGAGCTGTGGATCACATTAAGAAAGATCGTTGTTCAGAGTTACATCAAAGGTATTTTCTCTGATTCTTTACTATTTACAGCACCTACCACCACAGGATCCAGAAACTCCATCAGGATTATAGAAAGCAATGGAGTGCAGCAAGGCTGTCAATTCACTGTCCTACTCCTGAATTAATCCTGGTTTAATCTGTGTATTGTGGACTGGCCACAGTCCAACTAAGGAGAACAATGGCAGTGACAACACACTAAGGTACACATCTGAAATATTTGATAAAAAATGAGATTTTTTCCATTGGAATGTGTTTCACTGGTCCCTTTACCTCTTTCAACGAATCCGTTTATCCTCAAAGAGGGTGTTTTAAAATCAAATCCATTTTTAACCAACACCATGGTTCAATAGCCATAGGGACATTTTTTCCTGTAAATTCTCTTTCTGGAATTTATATGGAGGCTTCACCTAATTTTACTACCAGCATATTAATTATATCATGTTATTACCTTAATTATGATTTATTTGCATTTCATCTATCTCAGTAGAAATATTACTAGAAATATTTGGCTGTTTGCAAAGCTATATTATGGTAAGCTAACAAATGTAATTTCTTCCCCCCATCTTCAACCCCAAATTTTGCTATAAAATGCAAACTAGCCCTATGCTACACTAAAGCACTATGATGCAATAAACTGGTACAATGCATTTAATTTAGGTTTTACCAAAGGCTGCCATATGGGAAAGAGATGGAGAAATGCACAAGAACTTTTTTGACTTAAATTCTTAGCTCAAGGTCCAGCCTG